GTGACAATCCACTGGATGCCCTAGACACTCATCACCCAGGGCGACTGGACAAGTCACTTAAAATTGGGAAAAGGTGATTTTCAAGTGCAAGTCCGCAGACTCAAAATTAGGCTCACACTATAGCTTCTTCATTTTAATCACTTGAAATTTTACCCCCTTAACCAAAAATAGCTGGCATATCTTTCTATCAATGCTAAATTTCAAAACTTACGTACTATCAGGGAGGTTTTGGCATGGTTAAGTATTAATTAATTAAACAGCAATCTCTCCAAACTTACCCCATTGTATTTTGGGTCTGATTTTCCATGCTGAGAAACTGCTGAATCTGGCTTATGGTTCTTGATTTTTAATCTGTTTAGGAGGGAAAAAAGATCTAGATTCTTAAAATGCTTACCTATCAAATTAACATGAACTTTTTGATATTAGTAAATCACTTAGTACTAGTTTTTTAACCCCCTAAATTGAGTAGCTGTGGATTCCATAAAATGTTGAAACTTGGGCTTTTGCCGACATTCCCACCCCCTCCCGGACACAGGAGTACCTCATACCTTTAAGGAATTGATGGGTTAAAATAAGCAGTCCTGGCTGAAATGAACACAAGTACTACTTACTAGTCATAAATCCAGCAGCAGGCACTGTGCTCAAAACACGAGGATGAGTAAAACGGATTTACACCGGAGAGGAATCACAGTCGGATATTCTCAAACTTTCCTATCATGCGAATCCCTAAATAATTCACCTTTGAGTCAAAGCCTTCGTTGGCCCTTTCTGAGTTTAACTAGATGTATACTGTGACATTTAGTCGCCAAAAGATCAAAGATTGGCTAAAAGTAGAAATCTTGCAAGGGTTCCGTGGCTAGGCTGACCCTTTGGACAAAACGCTGATGTTAGTACTTGCCTAGAGGAAATGAACACTTCTCTCTTCAACACAGTTTTCAGTGAAAAGAAAATCATGGTGTGGACAAAAGATCACAAAAGGACATCAACTCTAAACCACCGGCTAACAGACAACCAAACAGCAGTCGAAGTGGTAGTATGAGAGGAAAGCTGCAGGGCTCAAGCTACCCCCAAATCAAAGGAAGTTAGGGCCTCCTGGAATTGTGTGGAGGAGACCTGGGGATAGAGGGGGTGCATAGACCGGAAACTGGACTACTGTGGAGCGAATACATGATTTTGCAGGTTCTCAGATCTCTCATTTTAACATCAGGGCAACTGAGGCACAGGCGTACACAGTACTCAGTGACTGTCCCAGGCTGCCCACCTAGAACCTAGATTGCCGACCCCTAAAGCATCCCTGCTCTGGATTCTGCAAACGCTCTTCTTGCATCCCTCGGCGGTTCTCCTGCTGCCAGGTGGACCATCCCCCGCCCGTGACCCCGATCACGACCCACAGCCCGCCCTGCGAGGTTCCGGCCCGGCTCCCCGTGCGCCTCAACAGTTGGGGTCCCGCCTGCCCATCTAGGGTCGCCCGCGCCTGCGGGGCGCTGGTGGGGGTGCGGAGAGGGCGCAGGTCAGGCAGGCCACCGAGTCTGGAGCTGGCTTACCTGCGCGGCGCCGGCCGGCCTGCTGGCGAGGAGGAAGTCCGGGAGCAGGAACCCAG